TTGTTTTAATTAAAGATAATTATATTTCAGAACTTAAGAGAGTGTTATTGAGTTAAAACTGTGTCACGATTAATGTGACATTCCATTCGTTACGCCGATAATAAACGTGTAATAAATAACCTATATTCAATAAAATAACAATTTAAAAACAGATAAACAGTATTTAAAGGTTATTGTTACAATTGGTATCGTGAGCAATTTTTTTTTTCCTTGTAACTGTCGTAGAGTGCTGCATGTAAGGCTTAGTATCCACGATGAAAAAAAACGCGCACATATTTTCTCGCTGTTTTACAAAAATATGTTAGAAAATATCTCCGCAATAATGTATTACCTGCTTTGAAGTGAAACTGAGGAATTATTCGAATATATGCGGTCAGTTTTTTCACTCACCTTTGACTAGCAGACATCATCTATATCAGGAACCACTGAGTTTGTCCATCATGACCATGTGGCGGGTAGCCATCATATAATACATGATTTTTGACAGATGCCTGAATCTCGCTTACGACATTATCAAGATAAGCTTGCATATATACAAGTTCCGAACAACAACATTTGGGCCCATAGATTGATTATACACTTAGTATATTTTGGGCCGTCGGTCTACCGAGCAATATCACCCGCTCGGTGGAAGATCTTCTCTCCGTCGTTATACCTACGTCCTACAACCATTTTTATATCTTATATCATTCAGCACTGGAGTGATATTCCCGTCTTTGGCTGTTGCCAACTCTATGACTATGACAAGAGCTATTTGCGGTAACAGTTTGACCGTGCTTCTTGCATGTCGATGTCCCCTCTCCATCATCTAGACTGCGATGACAGGACTCTTGTCGCAATGCAGGACAGAGTAGATCAGTTTCGATCTGATGACTTCAATTAGGTGGCAGTATGAGGAGGGCTTATCTATGCCAGTAAAAACAGATTGCACCTAACCAATGAAAAAACTAAATCCTCGTAATATTTTAATGGTCGTAAAATACAACAAACACAGTTGAGCCTTTTTTATTTATTGCTTAGATGGGTGGACGAGCTCACAGCCCACCTGGTGTTAAGTGGTTACTGGAGTCCATAGACATCTACAAGGTAAATGCGCCGCCCACCTTGAGATATAAGTTCTGAGGTCTCAGTATAGTTACAACGGCTGCCCCACCCTTTAAACCGCATTGTTCTTCACGGCAGAAATAGGCAGGGTAGTGGTACTTACCCGTGCGGAATTACAACAGGTCTTACCACCAGTGATTACGCAAATTATAATTGCGCGGGTTTGATTTTTACTACACGATGCTATTTCTTCACAGTGGAAGTCAATCATGAACATTTGTTAATGACGTATTTCATTAGAAAAGTTGCCTATAATTGTAGTTACTGTCAGCCACTCACACTGTAAGCTCACACACACACAGGTGAATCACACATTATGCGTCATCATCGCAGACCACCCTTGTGGTATTTCCCTTGCCCTTCGAAAAACGGGTTTCGTTCCTGAGGTTAAATAATTCGGAAGTTCGTGACTCACATTTTTTATTATTTTACGCAGACCAGCTAAAGGTATCAAATGCAACCGTTAACCACATTATTAACAGTGTCCAAATTATGTCTAATGTCTAATTATATAAAAATGAATTACTGTTGTGCCCACAAACGATTTAATATTTCATTTTTATTTTGAAAATTACTTTTATTCGTTCAAAGGCTTTTTTGCGGAAGCTCATAGCGCCATGAATCCATACATATTTATTTCTGCATAAGGCCTCAAAAGGCTTTCATTGAAGTATAAAAGGACTGCTTCATCCAACTCTGTATCGTATGACGCCTTCGAGAATTATGCGTAATACTTGACTTGGCTGGCCGTACCGATCTGTAAGTTCCGCTAAATAATAACGTTTCAGGGTTTGATTTTATTACATGTTCATACCTGAAATTCGCGTGACTCAATATTTTACTTCAAATAGCGGCTAATTAATAGCACGAGGGCTAATTGAATTCACTTACGATTGACAAATATGTGTTCCATTGCGTGGGCTTAGCGGTCGATGCTTAATATACTGTATTTTAGATTTTGGGTTTTAGGGTCACAGTATAGTGGTAAAATTAGGGTACAAAATATTTTATTATATTTTCTTGCTGTTTAGCTAGAATGTCCAAACTTTTCCGTGATTGGTTGACGAATTCGATACATGTTTTCGACTTTTCCACTTCTAAAAAACCTATGGCAAAATATGTCTTTGGTGGGTTGCAGAACACGTCTGCGCCGATTTCTTCAAAACCTATCTATATCGCTTGTTTAAGCTACATTCTGTAACGATTTCGTGGACATATTTTATAAAAAATAAATAAAATCTCCATTCTTAATAATGAAAATTCAATTCTGTAATAATATCTCAGTCTGTTGTAGTCTAAATAATTCTCAACCGAATCATACTAATTTAACTCATTAATCATTATTAGCGGCCATTCGCTGCGGTCACGGAAATAAAATTTACAATTTATTTATAACACATTTGCATCACTGCTCTTCTCGGTTTTAAGATGATATTTTGATGAATTTCAAGAACAGATTGCTTAGGTAGAATTTGCACAGGAAAATTAGTGTTTGTTTCCATCACTGTTGCTGTTATTTTTGAATTATTATTGAACTGAATATTAATGTATTACATTGGTCACGTCATCATCAACCTAAAGCAGTCCACTGCTGGACATAGCCTTCTCCAATTGCACGCCACTGAGCACGAACATCGGCCTGTCCAGATCTGTCAGATTTTTACTGGTGGTAGGACCTCTTGTGAGGCCACGCGGCTGGGTACCACCACCTATTTCTGCCGTGAAGCAGTAATGCGTTTCGGTTTGAAGGGTGGGGCAACCGTTGTAACTGTACTTGAGACCTTAGAACTTATATCTCAAAGTGGGTGGCGCATTTACGTTGTGGATGTCTATGGGCTCCAATAACCACTTAACACCAGGTGGGCTCTGAGCTCGTCCACCCATCTAAGCAATAAATAAAAAAGGCTCAACTGTGTTTGTTGTATTTTACGACCATTAAAATATTACGAGGATTTAGTTTTTTCATTGGTTAGGTGCAATCTGTTTTTTACTGGCATAGATAAGCCCTCCTCATGCTGCCACCTAATTGAAGTCATCAGATCGAAACTGGTCTACTCTTTCCTGCATTGCGACAAGAGTCCTGTCATCGCAGTCTAGATGATGGAGAGGGGACATCGACATGCAAGAAGCACGGTCAAGCTGTTACCGCAAATAGCTCTTGTCATAGTCATAGAGCTGGCAACAGCCAAAGACGGGAATTATTAGATTAATAGGTAGACAAAAAAAGGAGTATAAAATTGAGATTTGACTTTGTTCCTCCTCCCTATTCTGGTAACCTCTAGGGGTCATACTAGATTCATTGAGTGAGTAGGTGAGCTCACGGGGTTGTTAGAACCCGTAGGTTAGCTAGGGAATATGACAACAGTAACCGTTTGTTGTAAGGTAGCCTGTACTAGTTCTGCTTATCTATATAATAATACGTGAAGCTAAAACTTTGTACCCCTTTTTACGAAAATTGCGCGGACGGAGGAGTATGAAATATCCCACATTTATAGAGAATATAGAGAATGAGCGCACAATCCTAATATTTTTTTACAATTATGTTTAAAACATATATTAAATCAATATAAAAAAAACATTACACACACTACCGTGTATTTGATACACACACGCAGATATACTCTTTTGTTTATTGTTTAATTTCTGTGGTTAAATTGAGAATAGATTAGTATTGTTTGTCTTTAATATACTTTGTCTATAGTTTAGTCTTGGAAAAATCTGTGATTATAGAAATATAATAATAGTTTTTGACAATAGAACCATAATAATGTTCAAACTTATAATTTTAATTAATTATAGTCGAATTTCGACTACTGGGGCACCACTAGTTTAGATAATTAAAAAGCTGTCTTGTTGAAAATTAAAACGCACTCATAGCTTTAATCATACATAACACCCTAACCGATGAATTAGTTCTTAAGTACACCAACAAATCTCCAAATTAACATTTTTAAGTGACTTTACGTCCTGTTGCCACAGTCAGGCGGATGTTAGAATTTATGGTTACCGTTTTTGCGGTCATACGAGCAAGGTTGATTGTTTGCTGGTAATGTATTTACATACGATGTATGTTCGTAAACATATTGAGGAGTTTCCTAAAAAGTCTGTCTTACATAATAGAAATACTAGGAACAAACACAAGCTTCATGTGCCGATGAGTAGGTTACATAAGATACGAAATTCATTCGGGTGTTTGTCTGTGCGTCTGTACAACAAAATCCCACAAGATGTTCAGAACCTACATATACATAGGTTTAAGAAAACTATTAAAGAACATCTGTGCAATAAAATAAAGCTTAGTATAAAATCAATGATTATTTAAAAGATTGCACAAAGTGGGAATGAGTTGCTCGCTCCGGGCATTTCAATATTGCAATAATTGTTACGTTATAATGCTCCTTGTAAAAATGAGTATTTAAAAAAAATCTAATATTAAAAAAAAAAGCATGCCTGCTGAGTTTTTAGACAGTTCTTCTCAGGACGGAGGCTAGTTTTTGTGAATTAGGGATAGTTCTTTTTGACGGTTAACAAGCATGTACTTTCGTTTATGAATTAAAATTTTTTGATTTTGATTTGATTTGATTACGATAGCTTGTGCCTTTAATTTTTTACCAAAAATTCAAAATCTTTTATTTCAACTTAGATGTCTGTATAACACACTTGTTGAATGTCAAAATAAAAATAACAATGTTAACTCTACCACCGGTTCCAAAAAAGCCACAGTCCTGAGAATAACCGGGGAAAGAAACTCAGCGAGCTTTTTTGGTTTACTTTTTTGTTTCTTTTTTCAATTTTTTTTAAATAATTAAAAATATTGGCAATAAACGAAAGAACAAGTCAAAAAATACAATTAAAAAAAAATTCCGATTCGATGATTTTCTTTTCCAACGTTTCAGCCGTCAACAATGGGGAGCATCGAGACCCTTGTGCTCCTCCAGCTGGTCTACATCAGCAGCTGCATGGACCAGCTCCACATCGTGTACGAGTGGAAGCAGCTCGACTTCCAGTTCCCCTCACCGGAGGCAAGGCAACTGGCTCTGGACGCGAAAGGCTTCATTCCCGAGAACAACGTCCCCATGGGCCTGGAGGTGTACGAAGATCGATTGTTTGTGACTGTCCCGAGGTGGAGGTCTGGCGTGCCCTCCAGTTTGAACTACATTAATTTGAAAGGTAATGTCAGGTAGCTGCCCTGTAATTTTTCGATACTTTTTGAAGTGAAACTTCTTTAGGCGCATGGGGGTAAAATTTTTACAGAACGTTACGCAGGTATGCAACGGAAGTGACATCAAACTACTATTGAAATTAAGTACTTGTCAAATGTCAGTAGTAGTAGTTGTTGTATTTTTCCAACTGGAAAGGCAAATGTATCACTCCATACAGCCTAATATTTTATAATTTTTTTGTGAAAAATGTTAATAGGAATTGAAATGAAATGAAAAGAATTTGGAACATTAATCAAATAGCATGAAATTAAATTAGTCAATTCAATTGGCAAAATATTAGTCATTTACAATTTAGAAATCTAAACATAATGTGACTGTCAACACTGAGGTTTGAGGTTGACATTTGACAGACTTTTGGCCGGAACATATCTTCCTTTTTCCCTTCCTCTAAGTCTCGGAAATCTAAAGTTTTAGATTTGTATAAATATAAGCAAGACTTATAAATTAGTTCGCCAAAAAAGTTTCACTTCTGACATGTGTACTTTGTACGCACGCACTTTCTTTTTTATTGCTTAGATGGGTGGACGAGCTCACAGCCCACCTGGTGTTAAGTGGTTACTGGAGCCCATAGACATCTACGACGTAAATGCGCCACCCACCTTGAGATATAAGTTCTAAGGTCTCAAGTATAGTTACAACGACTGCCTTACCCTTCAAACCGAAACGCATTACTGCTTCACGGCAGAAATGGGCAGGGTGGCGGTACCTACCCGCGCGGCCTCACAAGAGGTCCTACCACCAACTTCAACCGTGTGGCAATCCCGAAATTGCTTACTGATGGTGGGCCGTTTTGTAAGCACGCACGGGAAGCTATCCCCGCCTTGCCATTGAAGAAGTTATGCCTTCGGACTTTGAGGCAACTTCAGGTGGGCCCTGAGAGCGTCTAGAAAATCTGCGATAATATGCACACTTACCCATTCGGCGCCAGTACATAATGGAATGACAACATGTATGTAATGAGAGTACTGATGGTAGGACCTCTTGTGAGTCCGCACGGGTAGGTATCACCACCCGGCCCATTTCTGCCGTGAAGCAGTAACGCGTTTCGGTTTAAAAGGTGGGGCAGCCGTTGTAACTATACTGAGACTTTAGAACTTATATCTCAAGGTGGGTGGCACATTTACGTTTTAGATGTCTATGGGCCTCAGTAACCACTTACTGTGGATTGTGAGCTCGTGCATCCATCTAAGCAATAAAAATTAAATATAAATTTAACTTAGTATCTTTGATTGTGCCAACGATTTATTTACGAAATATTCCAATCGTGTTTTCCTCTGCGCATATATTGAATTTCTGCTTTTACTTGATTCTTGTATTAAAGTAAACATTACATGAGACAAATAGAAAGGGCGCCTGAGGTTGAATTTCACTGAACGAAGCCGAGAAAATGAAGTGTTCGTATTGGTGGGCCTTTTCTCGCACAACTGCGTCGGGCACACAGTCGCACGCCGGGAAACGTCATCCACTTTATCGGTCGGTCCATTCCGACACTCTTTGACCCCGTAGATAAAGCAGCTGCGCGTTCTGGTGTGCTTAAAACGAAACCTAAATCCTAGCAAGTTTTAGCGTCATTGTTTTTAATATGCAGCCTATCTCGCTGTTCATTTCATTTATTTATTTATTGCTTAGATGGGTTGACGAGCTCACAGCCCACCTGGTTTTAAGTGGTTACTGGAGCCCATAGACATCTACAGCGTAAATGCCGCCACTCACCTTGAGCTATGACTTCTAAGATCTCAGTATAGTTACATTTGAATATTTAAATATATCGCTTTATACATGTGCATTAATATTCGCTTTTGTTATCGTATCTAGTGTTATTTGGTTCATTCTGTGTTGTTTTGAATATTCAAGTAGATAATACTTAATCTGAGGTACATTACATGCATACATAAATTATATTCTTAAGGGTGAGACAGTAGTTGCGGGTAGGTACCACCGCCCTGCCTATTTCTGCCGTGAAGCAATAATGCGTTTCGGTTTGAAGGGTGGGGCAGCCGTTGTACTGTTAAAACTGAGACCTTAGAACTATTTCTCAAGGTAGATGTCTATGGGCTCCGGTTACCACTTAACACCAGGTGGGCTGGCTCATCTACCCATCTAAGCTATAAAAAATACTATAGAATTTAGACTTATACTTCGTGTTATTGGTCGGGTATGTATTTACCGGCGGCCACGATAAGGGGTTATCATCTCATGTTCCGAAGATGGTGGTGGCATTCAGTGATTACTAGTAGTCAGGTAATCACTTAACACCAGTCGGCAGTGAGCTCGTCCGCCTATTTATAATGCAAAAAATTATCTAAAAACGCAATGAACTTAAAATAAATTATTTCTTTACAGATAACTCAACGAGATCTCCGGTTCTTGTTCCTTACCCAAACTGGGCAGCTCATTCCACCGGTCTCGATGGTAAGCCACCGGAAATTGTCTCGCCATACCGCGTTAGGGCAGACCGATGCGGTCGCCTCTGGGTTTTGGACAACGGTAAAATAGCAACCTTAGAAAGCAATACCACAAAATATCCTCCTTCGCTCATAATCTACGATTTGAAAACCGATAATCTACTCAGGAAGTACGTGTTCCCCCAAGACCAGGTTAAAGAAGATTCCGGTTTTGCCAATATCGCCGTAGAGGATACGGACTGCGATAAAACTTATGCGTATGCTGGCGATTTGGGCAAACCGGCCATAGTCGTCTATTCATGGGAGAAAAACGATTCGTGGCGCATAACCCATCACTACTTTAACCCCGACCCGTTGGCCTGCGATTTCAGCGTGAAAGGCCACAATTTTAGCTGGACCGACGCGATATTCGGCCTAGGTCTCTCCGCTCCCAATGCTGATAACTTCAGCACCCTGTACTTCCACCCGATGGCCAGTTACAACGAATTTTCGGTTTCGACTGAGTACTTAAGGAACCAAACCGTCGCCGATGATAACTTTGATGCCTTCAAACTGTTAGGGAGCCGGGGGCCAAACGCTCAATCAAGTGTTTCGTTTGTGGATAGAAAAACCGGTGTCCTATTTTATTCGTTAGTGAATCTAAACGCTGTGGCCTGTTGGCGGACATCGAACAACAAATACCTGATGAAGAATCAAGGCAGAATATATATGAACGAGGAGACCATGGTGTACCCTACCGATATAAAAGTCGATTACGAGGATAACTTATGGATCCTTTCGAATCGATTGCCGATTTGGATGTACGGAAAATTGGATCTTAACGAAGTGAACTTTAGGGTGTTTTCCGCTCCCGTCGTCCACGCTATTAGTCATACGGCCTGTGACATCACTCCGAGGTCCGATATTTTGGAGAAATTCGTGAATAAAGCCAAGAACATAACAAAAGATATCGTCGCCAAGGTTAAGCCGAATTCTTCGACTACCACCAAACCTATTACAGTTTTATTAACATTAAGTTGTCTCGTAAGGTTTTTGGCTACGTAAGTCGTTTCAAAAATCATTCTGTTCGATGTTCGTAGGGGCTAATGACGTCACTGAATTTGACAGTATGAAGCTAGTCGTCAATGTAACACGACAGTGACGTTCGCACAGATTCTTTAAATCCATCGACGTTCCCCGCTCTTTTCATGTGAGAATAAAAATGCAAGGAATCCTTTTTTTTTTAAAAACGAATTTATTTTTTTCAATTACGTAGCAATTAATCGTTTCGCCAATAATTCTGTTAAGTGTCCCCGTAACTGCACATGTTGCTGTCTCTCTCGCACGCCCGCGTTTTACGCACAATGTGTACATTTTATTGTTATTCGACCGCTAACCCCATCATCGAAAAGATTAATTCTGTTTTAGATTTTGGGTAACTTATTATTTGGAAAGTCGGTCAGTTATTACATCATTTATCGAAACAACATAAAATATAAACTTTTTTGTATTTACGTGTGCTATTTTGTTTAGTAAAGCTACAACTGGTGGTAGGACCTCTTGTGTGTCCGCGCAGGTAGGTACCACCACCCTGCCTATTTCTGCCGTGAAGCACTAATGCGTTTCGGTTTGAAGGGTGGGGCAGCCGTTGTAACTATACTGAGATCTTAGAACTTATATCTCAAGACGGGTGGCGCATTTACGTTGTAGATGTCTATGGGATCCAGTAACCACTTTACTCCTTAGGTGGGCTGTGAGCTCGTCCAACCATCTAAGCAATAAAAAATAATAATAATATAATAGCGTTATAAGTCTAATTTATAACGCGCTTAATTTAGCATAAGCACACGCTTTTTTCGATATCTGTATATAGATATTAGTTTCTAATAATTTATTATTTTTATTTAAAATTAAATAAAGCATTCCCGTTACATTATCTTCGATGTGATAATAGTTGTCGAATGTAATTTATATTTCATATTTCAGTCGATCGTAAAATCATCACATTCGGAATTTTTGTTACGAACCAATCATTAGTCGTCATACATAATTTTTATGGAGAATCCGGTGGTAGATTCTGCGAAGCACTGCTCTTGCTAGGTTCAGTGTTAGCAACACTCCGGCTTGAGCCCCGTGAGCTCACCTACACGCGTTAGGGTGAAGCCGAAATAGCCTCTTAAGGCTATCAGCATAGAAAAAAAAAGGTGAAAAAGGATATTCAAAGATTCAAAGACAATCAACGGAAGCGTGTTAAAAAGATGGCCGCTTTAGAAAAAAAAAAACGATTTGTGATCGATAAATATTTAAGTGTATTTATCTATGTGATTGATTTTACACGTTTGTACTTATTAATTGTAATTTGAATTATATATATATGTTTCGTCATATATGATATGATTTTATTATAATAAACAATGTTATATATTTTGTAACATTTGTAAAAGTAAAAGTTATCATTATGTAGACTTATCTCGTTGCAAGAAGATTATACTTTTGTAATTAATTGAAGGTAATTCATTGTTGCTGTCGATGTTAAGGCTTCGTCAAACAGAACACGTAATTAGCGCGCGTCAGAACGCTAAACTGACGGCGCGCTATGACGCCGAGGCGTGTTGTACTACTATGGTAACATATCGTCAAACAGAGCCCCAGCGTTATAAGTACGCAACGCTCTGTCGCGGCGTTAGGACGATTTGACGTAAGGCGTTGAAATTTTTTACAAATTTTATTTTAGCGTCCGAGTGAATGTGTATTAAAATACTGAATATTGCCCGAAAAATTTATAGAAATAGTCAGAAAATACCCATGCTTATACAATGCCACATCTGAATCACTCAACATCTTAATACTTTTAAATCTTCACACTGCTATCAAAAGGCACTATGATTTGGCGAATGCGTAGCGTCAAGGAGCGTTGGACTCATCTAGTCAATTTGTGTGACATGAAAGAGCGCGACGAACGCGACGCTATAACGCAGCGCTAAGTACGCGTTCTGTTTGACGAAGCCTATAATGGTAATTTATTGAACAGCACCCTTAATAAACACCCAATAAAAATTTAAGTTTTTCACTAGGTATCTACTCCATTACTTCTATGTTTCGATCGTAAACAAAATAGCATTTTTAGTGCTTAAATTTTACATCACGAAAAGGCGCGTGGCGAAAAATGTGCATAACATTCAAAATATATTGCTATCTGCTCACTGACGAAAGCTCGCATTGAAAATCATGTCTTAATCGACATTTCTTCTTCCGCTTTCATAATTGGCACGAACAAGTAGCCCTAAATTGTGTAGTAAAAAAACTTAATAAGTCGAACGACTAGCCCTAAATTATTAAAAACAAAAATAAGTCTAATTCGCACGCGAAGTGACAACCCTCGGAAATAGTCTATCTCGTTCTCGCGCAAGCTAAACCCTAAAGCTTGTTTGTATCAGTCTATTTTTAGTGTCGTTTTTTCGCGTTTCAAACCAGAACGGTGCTAAAAAAACATCGCCTATGAGTTTGTTCTCTCTGTACTCTATTGAATTTCATAAAAAATAAATAAATTGGAATATCATCAATATAAATATGTCGTCGAAGTTAATTAAATAGCCGTTTTTAGGGAAATCTTGATTAAATGTAAATTGGACCACATGAGAAGCATAAACGTCAAATATTTCTTTAATATTTTCCTAGAAAAAGTTCTGAGGTACCTATAACACACATGAAAAGACAATACAGTCGAATTGATAGTCGCTTTCTTTTTTTGATGGACTAAACTTTTCCACTTAGATAATTTATTGAATTTAAAATAAATATGGTAATATTTTTAAAGTTTAATACTAGTCCACACATTCTTTATTTTCAGTGACGACTATCTTATTTGTGCCTTTAAAAGTGATATTTTATTTTTGTAAGACAAGACGTGTAGATTTAAAAATATAATATGTTAAAATTATTTTATTGTATATTAATTTAAATGTTTACTTAATTTTTAATTTAGAAATAAAACATTTGAATGTCATATTATGTAGTTTTTTTTAATTTACCATTTAAAACTTAGGTGTGGTTTCAAAATCGCAAATACAATAAATAAATTAGAATGATTTCGATGACAGTTTAAAAGATAAAAAATTTAAGTCCTGGTTGGAATCGTTTTTCTAAATATAAGTTAGACGATAGTCATACATATACTACGTAATATATTGTGCATTTTTAAATCAATCTCATTTAAGGAATATCTATCGAAACACCACTATAATGACATCTATTGACAACAAATAGAAACAATAATACAGCCAAAATTAGTTTTAGCGCCATCTAGTGAAACAAGGTCCTCAGATCGAGTTTGATGCTCATCGTTCTTGGTTACTAAGAGATGGCGCTTTACGTCTTATTTACATTTTTACAAATAATGTTTGACATTTATGGACAGGTGCGTTCGAAATCAAACCTTATCAACAATAACATATAAATCACAATGCCAAGGCTGCAATTAGTTTTTGTTCTCGAAATAATCGATGTATTTAGAGCTTGGTTTTCTTTAAAGCATTTCTCAGGGGAAAGTGCTCACTCTCACCCTGATTCACCTTGACAAATGAAGTCTCAATTATGTTGCAAAATGGGTGTTCCACCTTAGACATTTAACTTGTGCGTTGCACCGATGTTCGAATCCTGCTGGCGGGTACCAATTTTTGTAATGAAATACGTTCCTAACAAATGTTTGCGATTGACTTCCACGGTGAAGGAATAACACCTCTATATATAAAAATGAATTGCTGTTCGTTAGTCTCGCTAAAACTCGAGAACGGCTGAACTGATTTGGCTAATTTTGGTCTTGAATTATTTGTGGAAGTCCAGAGAAGGTTTAAAAGGTAGATAAATATGAACATGCTCAGAATTAAATAAAAATAACAATTTTGTTTTTCCTTTGATGTGTCCCTAGTCGGACCGATTCATTTTGTTTGTTTCAAGTTTATTTTATACAAAAGTTTAGGTATTTTATTTATCGATTGAGGCACTACGAAGTCTGCCGGGTCAGCTAGTCGTNAATTATTTGTGGAAGTCCAGAGAAGGTTTAAAAGGTAGATAAATATGAACATGCTCAGAATTAAATAAAAATAACAATTTTGTTTTTCCTTTGATGTGTCCCTAGTCGGACCGATTCATTTTGTTTGTTTCAAGTTTATTTTATACAAAAGTTTAGGTATTTTATTTATCGATTGAGGCACTACGAAGTCTGCCGGGTCAGCTAGTCGTGTAATAAAAATGAAACCCGAAAAATTATAATTTGTGTAATTACTGGTGATAGGACGTCTTGTGAGTCCGCACGGGTGGGTACCACCATCCTCCCTATTTCTGCCGTGAAGCAGTAATGCCTTTCGATTTGAAGGGTGGGCAGCCGTGGAATTGTAAAAACTGAGACCTTAGAACTCATGTCTCAAGGTAGGTGGCGGCGTTTACGTTGTAGATGTCTATGGGCTCCGGTGAACACTTAAAATCAGGTGGGCCGTGAGCTCATCCACTAACCTAAGCAATAAAAGAAAAAAAGAAAAGCAAAACCTGCTGAGTTTCTCGCCGGATCTTCTCAGCGGGTCGCAATTCCGTTGCGGTGGTAGAGGGAGTCGAGAAGCAGCTGTCCTAGAGCTGTCCTTCGAAGGTGCTCGGGCAGCTGTTCCCAATTCCTTCGTGGCTGATCCTTTGCTCGCCCACCTGTCTGAAACCTTCACCTGGTGAAACTGGAAAGGCCTTGGCGCCACCATTGATCCTTCCTTCCTAAAAAAACAACATACAATTTGAGACAATACAGTTAAGCTCAACAACAAAAATTACGTAATTTATCAGTTTTAAAAGAACGCCTAATACCTACGCACGCACAGTATTCTGAAAACACAATTGTAATATGGTTTCCATTTAGATAAACTAATAAATAATTTATTATCTAGCATGTTTTATGGTTAGATATTGGGGGATCGAATTATTGGCACAGCATAAACCTGTCGTTCGACGGAGCGGCGAGACGTTTTGAAAATACCAAAATGACAGAGGTGGGTGAATATTATTTAATATTTATTAATAATTAGCTGACCCGGCAGACTTCGTGGTGCCTCAATCAATAAATAAAAGACCTAAACTTTTGTATAAAATAAACTTAAAACAAACAAAAGGAAAAACAAACAAAAAAAATTTATTGAATTCCGAGCATTTTTATATTTGACTACCTTTTAAGCCTTCTCTGGACTTCCACAAATAATTCAAGACCAAAATTAGCCAAATCGGTCCAGCCGCTCTCGAGTTTTAACGAGACTAACGTGTTCGTTAGTGCTGTTGCAATTAATTTATATATATATATATAGATAGCGACGAAAGATCAGCTGGCATTTAAAACATGGCACTTCATAGCATAAAATAGACAAAAATGTCCATCTTTAGAGGAACCCTTTACCCAAATCGGGATTTCTTGTTATTTTATAATTATCTTAATACACGGACTTAAATAACTAACATAATTTAAGCTAACTTACTAACAAAAGTCATATTTTGTTGTTAATGTAATATTATAATTCACATAAGATTGTACAACCAGAAATTGAAATGCTTATTATTATTATTATTTATTACAATAATAGCGACCCGGATCGATTTTTACACGGGTTAATTAGGACATTGAACAAGAAAAAACGTTACAGATACGACTATAATTAATTTTACATTATATCATCTGTACTAATATTATGAAGCTGAAGAGTTTATTTATTTGAACGCGCTAATCTCAGGAACTACTGGTCCGATTAAAAAAAAAATTTCAGTGTTAGATAGCCCATTTATCGAGGAAAGCTATAGGCTATAACATCACGCTAAGACTAATACAAGCGGACACCAATAAAGAAGGTTTCAAAATCGGGTTTTTTTCCCTTTTGAGAGCTTCCGCTGCGTGCGCTGCAGAAACGGTTAAAGTTTCGCTAAAATAACGAATGACAGAATTATACCCCTTTAAAAGATCTAAAAAAAGTCCGCGACAGCATATGTCTATTAGTTAAGGTTGGTTCACTATAAAGTTTTTTATGCTAACCAAATTTGTTCTAAAATAAAGCATTATTTGTGAACTATTNGGGTTTTTTTCCCTTTTGAGAGCTTCCGCTGCGTGCGCTGCAGAAACGGTTAAAGTTTCGCTAAAATAACGAATGACAGAATTATACCCCTTTAAAAGATCTAAAAAAAGTCCGCGACAGCATATGTCTATTAGTTAAGGTTGGTTCACTATAAAGTTTTTTATGCTAACCAAATTTGTTCTAAAATAAAGCATTATTTTTGAACTATTCCACGCGGACGAAGTCGCGGGAAAAAGCTAGTTTACTAAATAAGAACGTCTTTATCTTCTTCACGCATCACGAACTTCACGCATCTCTTAGGATTTGCGATCTATGTCTCTATTGAATTACGTGATTGTTAATTTTGTAACGTGAGATTAAACCCTTTATCGTGTAACTCGTTCGTGAGAAAATATGATAAGTATCTACGTATTTGATTATAAAAATTGGTACCTATCTGTGGGATTTGAAAAACGGCACACAAGAATCGCTCGATTAGAATTTTTGTTTTTTATTGCTTAGATGGGTGGACGACCTCACAGCCCACCTGGTGTTAAGTGGTTACTGGAGCCCATAGACATCTACGACGTAAATGCGCCACCCACTTATAAGTTCTAAGGTCTCAAGTATAGTAATAACGGCTGCCCCACCCTTCAAACCGAAACGCATTACTGCTTCACGGCAGAAATAGGCAGGGTGGTGGTACCTACCCGCGCGGACCTACAAGAGGTCCTACGCCAGTAATTACGCAAATTATAATTTTGCGGGTTTCATTTTTATTACACGTTGTTATTCCTTCACCGTGGAAGTCAATCCTGAACATTTGTTAAGTACATATTTCATTAGAAAAATTGGTACCCGCCTGGGATTCGAACACCGGTGCATCGCTCAATACGAATGCACCAGACGTCTTATCTCTTAGGCCACAACAACTTCTTTGTCCGTAGCCTTTATTTTTATTAATTTCATGTATTTTATTCATTTCGCGTCTCGTGTGTAGATTGCGATGCCGGAGTCTTCGTTGAAACAGAAATGTCGGGAATGCGTTAAAGGCTACAATTTGTTGAAGACCCTAGTCATTGTTGTTTGCTTGGGAGTTGTTTTGCAACAGGTAAAATGTATACATTTATTAATAGCTATGTATATAAAAGACATGCTTCTACATCATTCTCGTAGAATTAATAGAATTTTAGCAGATTTCTTTTTTATTTTACTTTACTTTTTGAATTATTTACAGTAAAGAAGGAAACATTTTATTTTGCAGCTCACAATATCGTACATATCACAAGCGGTTTATGTACGTCTTTTTTGAGAAAATAGAGAAGAGTCTTGTCTATTTGTAAATCTTATTGTTATTTTTAGATATCGACCTGCATACAGAAGTTGTTCGTGGACATACCGATAACAACGTACACCCATTTCGATTTTAACAAAACAATATTGTACCCAAGCCTGACGTTCTGCCGGGAGCCGCCGTATAAATTCCAGAAGTTATTGGTGAGGATTGTGGCTTTTGTTCTGGGGGGGCTTCCCGACCCGGCCTTTCGCGTAGACTAGTATCTAGGAAGTTTTACAGAGCGAAAGCTTCAGTTCGGTTTGGTTAAAATAATATCCGACGAAAATATAGGGTTATTAATAAAAAGGTTCGAGAACTGTTTCTCAGAGAGTTAGCAGAGTCATCTAATTTATATTTATTTATCAATATATTTATATGTATATATTCATGTATATGTATTTATTTAAGTACGAGTATTTGTATCTATAAATATTATGTATATTATATATACATATGTTAAAGTATCTAATAATTATCACTATATACCCCTGCTTCTTACGACCTTAACTGTGTAGATATTTCTTCATTTTTTATTTCGGTGGGTAAAGTCAAGCAATATTTAAAAAATCTTGATATTTCCAAGGGTGCTGGTCCGGATGGTATTCTGCCTGTTTTTTTGCGACAATGTTACGCTCAGCTGTGTTACCCTTTGCATCTTCTTTTTAATCACTCATTATCAACTGGTGTTATGCTCCGTATTTGGAAGCGGTCGTTCGTGGTGCCAGTCTTTAAGAGCGGTGATAAACATAACATAGCTAACTACAGACCAATTTCTAAAATTTGTACCATCCCTAAGATGTTTGAACGTATAGTTTATGATTTTTTATTTCCATTGATTAGGCCTCATATTGTAGAGCAACAACATGGTTTTATAAGCCATAGATCTACTGAGACAAACCTCTGTGAGTTTTTGGATTATGTATTGAGCTCCATAGAGGATGGTCATCAGGTTGATGTGGTGTACACGGATTATTCCAAAGCGTTCGATCGAATAAATTTTGACATTTTGATTGAGAAATTGCATGGACTTGGGGTCCACGGTGATTTGCTGCGATGGCTTGAGTCTTATGTTAGAGATTGCAGTCAGGCTGTGACTTTCAATGGTTTTTGTTCATCATTTGCACCTGTTCCCTCGGGAGTTCCTCAGGGCTCTCATCTCGGTCCTATGTTATTTAATATATATGTCAATGACGTTTCGAATGTTTTCAGGAAATCCAAATTCATTATATACGCTGATGACAAAAAAGTATATAAAGTTATAAAGTCCTTAAACGACTGTTTGGAATTACAGGATGATTTGAACAACTTATTTGTTTACTGTCAAAATAACTTACTCACAGTGAATACTAATAAGTGTACTATTATAACATTCTCCCGTGGAAGATCGAATATCTTGTATGACTATTCTATTAATAGTCAAACTTTGGTACGCACCACAGTTGTTCGTGATTTGGGTATTTATTTGGATTCCAGTTTGATTTTTGATTTTCATTTTAATGAAATAGTAAATAAGGCTTTTCGAATGTTAGGCTTCATACTTAGAGTTGGTATATATAGACTTTAAAAGACCATCTACTTTGATTCTGTTGTACAACAGTTTTGTACGGTCTATATTGGAATATGGCTCCGTCACATGGAACCCCCAATATAATATTTATATTCAGCGACTAGAAAGAGTCCAAAAAAAATTTTTTAAGCATCTTTTATACCATTGTCGTCGCTTTAACTCTCCAGAACCGACAGAATTTGTCTCTCTAGTCGATCGCAGGCTACTGAGGGATCAAATGTTTTTATATAAAATAATAAATAACGAGATTGATTCTAGCTATCTTCTTTCCAAAATTTCATTTAAATGTAGTCGTATTTCTGCGCGTTCTAAACAGACCTTCCACATGTCCACGGCTCGAACGAAATATGCTTCTAACTCTTTTGTCCGTAGAACTTGTAGGTTGTATGATGCTAAGTTCTCTAATGCTGATATCTTTTGCTTGTCACTTGTAGCATATAGAAAAGCTGTTTTGGAGTGTTTATAGGGTGATTTGGCCCGATAAGTGTTGTAGTTTTATAGTGTGAGTTAATGTATAAAATGATATGTGCGTATTGTGTTGCTTTTGTTTTTTTGTAATTTAAATTTCTAAATTTCTCTTCTTGTTCACTGTCTACTTATATGTGATTTTGATTGTGGAAACATATTTGGTTATTGTTTTAGCAATTTTTTTTTTAAATATTGTATGTTTTGTATTGTACTGTTTGTTTCCCAAATAAATAAATAAATAAAACTACACCTAGCAAGGTTCATCTCTGCACTACCCTAAGGTAGACTGTCAGAGAATGTCTATGGCATTAAGTCCCCGCCCTTATACTGTCAAGTATATAAAGTTATAAATAAATAAATATATAATAGTTCTTTAAATATAACTGTTTAAGCAATCCTTCTCACCCGAGAGGCGCTAGTATAGATTCGAATTTACAATACTTAAACCAAAATAAATATAAATATCATCAATGTACTCGAAGTTAATGCTAAAAATGTATTATTAAGGATAAATCAAAAACCAGTTATTGATATGAAAAGCACCAGCTTTCAAATTTATAAATCATAAAAAATCGGTTCTTCCAAAAAAGACCTACATCACTACATAGTATAAAACAAAGTCGTTTTCTCTGGTCCTATGTATGATTAAATCTTTAAAACTACGCAATGGATTTTGATGCGGTTTTTTTTAATAGATAGAGTGATTGAAGAGGAAGGTTTATATGTATAATTAATACGTGAAGCAAAAACTTTGTATCCCTTTTTACGAAAATTGCGCGGACAGAGGAGTATGAAATTTTCCACACTTATAGAGAATATAGAGAAGAAGTGCACAATGCTAATATTTTTTTTAAATAATGCATAAAAGATACATTAAATCAATAAAGAAAACATTACACACACTACGTACCATGTATTTGACGCACACACGCATGCATACTATTTATTGTCAAACTTTTGTTCTTGACGTCTGTTGTCAAATTGAGATTAAATATTGTTTGTCTTTGTTAATATTTTTTATAGTGTAGTTTTGGCGAAATTTGTGATTATAGAAGTATAAAATACAATCATAATAATGTACAAACTTACAATTCCAATTAATTATAGTCGAATTTCGACTACTGCGGGACCTCTAGTATGTATAATAACATCCATTAAATAGTGGAGAAATTAATAATAAATTACAGTTTCCGAAGTGAAGCGAGGGCGGGTCGCTAGTAAATAATAAAAGTGAATCGATAACCTCCGTTTTGAAGTCGGTTAAAAGGAATATGTCAAAATCTTTTTTTATCGGTCACTCAGCGAAGATACTCTTTAATAGGTTATAGACATTTCCAGGATCACGGTCTACATGCTCACCCGCGCTTCACATCCACCTGGGTGTCCTTCAATTTCTCTAGTATTACTCTGGACGATCTCTGGGATGAGATCACATACACAGACGACGAAATGTTCGTGCAGTACGGACTAAATGGAGATCCACAAAGTAAGTGTTTTATGTTTGCTATCTTAGATGCTTAGACGGGCCCATAGACATAGGAGCGTGAATGAAGCCAACCACTTTGAGGCAGGTCATTTCGAAAACAAGATAATTTTACATTTTTTTTATTGCCTTTGTAGGCAGACGAGCATACGGCCCACCTGATGGCAAGTGGTCACCGTCGCTCATGGACGTCAGCAATGCCAGGGGCAGAGCTAAGCCGCTGCCTACCATAAAGTACTCTCCGCAAGCCTCGTTTGAAGAAGGACATGTCATAGCGCTCGGAAAACACCGTGGAGGGGAGTTCATTCCAAAGCCGGATGGTTTTATTTATTTATTAACGAATTTGTCTATTTATTGTGAATTTAGTTTAATAAAAGTCTTACCCACTCTACTTAGTTTCTAATTTTCAGATGTAGAGTTAAAACCAATGCTCGGTTTCGCAATGGGTCGCTGTTATACTATGAACCCAAAGATCTTGAGCACTCAAGCAACCAAAACTACCGGGTACTCCGTGACCTTAAGGCACAGCGCTGAAGACGTGGCCACCAGCACCAGCGTCCACCCCCCAGGATACCACGTTCACGTCCACTACATACGAGAACCGTATACTGGTAATTTTCTGTTCCTGAATAATTCGATTTCCATTTCAATTGTTGATCAGAGATTGTGTTTTACCCCATAGACACAGCCCACTGAGTTTCTCGCCGGATCTTCTCAGTGGGTCGCGTTTCCGATCCGGTGGTAGATTCTGCGAAGCACTGCTCTTGCTAGGGCCAGTGTTAGCAATACTTCGGTTTGAGCCCCGTGAGCTCACCTACATGTTAGGGTGAAGCTGAAATAACCTTTCAAGGCTATCAGCATAGTAGGAAAAAAAAAAGAGATTGTGTTCTACTTCCATATTATATATGGAGGCACTTTGCATCTTATTTTGTAGATTAAAAGAAAAACGTGGAAAACGAATGCGGGCGGGCCATTTCGTTATATTCTTTATATTGTGCACAAAAACTACTCCAGATAGTAGAGCGTGTTTGTATACCGCGTACCCGGGCGGGCTGATAGTTTTTTATTTTATTGCTTAGATGGTTAGATGAGCTCACGGCCTACCTGATGTTAAGTGGTTATCGGAGCCCATAGACATCTACAACGCAAATGCCGCCACCTACCTTGAGATATGAGTTGTAAAGGTCTCACTTTTAACAGTAGAACTTCTGCCCCACCTTTCAAACCGAAACGCATTACTGTTCCACGGCAGAAATAGGCAGGGTGGTGGTAGCCCGTGCGGACTCACAAGACGTACTACCACCAGTGGCCTACCGCCAGACGGTAGTAGTGCCCCTTACTACCCCCAAAGGCCGAATAGCGATCGCTCTACATTGGGGTAATAACACTCAGAGAACGCTACTATCCATTCTCCGACGAATACCTTAGTCACCAACGACGAGAAGCGATAGGATAGACCTAATCCAGGCTAACACCTCACAGCCGAAACCACTTGGATTTGGACGTATACTAAGACCCCATTCGAACTATTCATTTGTGGCCTAAAGAAACTAAACTAAACTACACTTATAAGTTGCATGTCACAGTTCCATTATTTCTGCTTCTCCGGGTGCTCTCGTCTGAAGGCTAGGACAGTTGTTCGGATCTTCAACCTTATCTTTGAGGCTGGATAACAGTATTCATATTGTATTTACTATAAGTTTAGGTGACCTGAAAACCTTCCCTGCCTCGGTTATAATACAGAACTCATTAATACAGAAGTGGAAGTTTACAATGGAGGTCTGGTGGACCACCTCTACGTGAACGTTGGTGAGACCATGGATGTGAAGCTGAAGGTCGATGAATACGTCATGATCAGCAGCGAAGATGATCTTTGTACTTATGACGACCATTACAGTGCCAATGTTGTGAGTAATGCAAAAATGACTTTGTTGTACAAAATTTATGGTTGAATTTCAGATTTTTTCTCCTTTCAAGGACCGCGAATTTTGTAATATATTAATTGATTACAGGGATGTTGAATATGCACTGGTTAGTACCATAATTGCACGTCCTTATGGATTAATCACATCCAATAACCCTTGCATTAGACGCCTTCAGCTCTAACGCTAGGAGCAGGCTGGACCCCGGTAACCGTATTCGTCGAACTCGGCAAAGAGTTCGACGTACAACCTAACCCATGCATCAGCCCGCTGAGTTTTTCGCCGGATCTTCTCAGCGGGTCGCAATTCCGATCCGGTAGTAGATTCATTCGCGAAGCAGCTGCTCTTGAGTTGTTAGGTCTCCTTCGGAGGCGCTCGGGCAGCTGTTAACTGTCCCTGTCCTGGTGAAACTGGAAAGGCTTCTAGGCTACCAGTAATCCCTCATTCATAAAAAAACCCATAGTTGTTGCTTATTTATATCACAAAACAATCCTATTTTTCGGTTCCAAGCGTGCGACAGTGTTTGTGCCATTAGCGATTTTGGCATTAGGTATAATGGGGCTGCACTGTGGCTATCCATCTCACACCAGAGCATCAAGAGAACAAACAGTTTTGTATATCAATTACAATTTCTCGAACAGTGCACCGCACAATTCGTCTGGGACGAAACCGGAGCTGAGGCTGGCTGCTCCGGACCCTGGATGGACAGCAACCTGCCGCGCTGTGATAACTTTACATCCATGAGGACTCTCATCTCTGCCTACATCAAGTATACTGAGAGGTTTTTAAAACATTGGACAGTCGTCGTGGCCCAAAGGATAAGGCGTCCGGTGCATTCGTGTGTAGCGATGCACCGGTGTTCGAATCCCAGGCGGGTACCAATTTTTCTAATGAAATATGTACTTAACAAATGTTCACGATTGACTTCCACGGTGAAGGAATAAATAACATCGTGTAATAAAAATCAAACCCGCAAAATTATAATTTGCGTAATTATTGGTGGTAGGACCTCTTGTGAATCCGCACGGGTAGGTACCACCGCCCTGCGTATTTCTGCCGTGAAGCAGTAATGTGTTTTGGGTTGAAGGGTAGGGTAGCACTTGTAACCATACTTGAGGTTGGTGGCGCATTTACGTTGTAGATGTCTATGGGCTCCAGTAACCACTTAACACCAGGTGGGCTGTGAGTTCGTCCACCCATCTAAACAATAAAAAAAAAGTAGCCTGTCAGCTATCTGCTTGATCCAGGTCGTACAATGGTCACAACTGCGTGGTCTGTCCCCGGTTTTGCCGTTCATATCTCTACAACACGTACGTGACTGCCCGTCAGAGCTTGTACTCCTGGGACTCGACGGGAAACCAGTGGAAAGCCAAGTCGGGAGACGCAACTCTCCAGATCCAGGTATAATATATTTTAGAGAATGTAGAAACATCATCAATTTACATTTCTTTTTTTTTTTTACATTAAATTCCTTTGCATATAGATTTTTTTTATTGCCCTTGTAGGCAGTCGAGCATACGGCCCACCTGATGGTAAGTGGTTACCGTCGCCCATGGACTTCAGCAATGCCAGGGGCAGAGCCAAGCCGCTGCCTACCGCTAATTCCAATCAATAATCTCTAAATTATTAATACCTGAAGCAAAAAAATTGTATACCTTTTTTTGAAAATTGCGCGGACGGAGGAGAATTAAATTTCCCATGCTTATAGTTTATGTAGAGAAGGAGTGCAGATTGGTAATATTTTTTAAAGTTATGGATAAAAAATACATTAAATAAATAAAGAAAAGACAAGACACTACCATTTATTTGACACACACACGCATACCTATATACTCTTTTGTTTATTGTTAAAGTCTGTAGTCTGATTGAGAATAGATTAATATTGTTTGTCTATAGTGTAGTCTTGGCGAAATCTGCGATTATAGAAGTATAAAGTCATTGACAATAGAACCATAATAATGTTCAAACTTATAATTTCAATTAATTATTGAGCGATCACTAGCTATTTAATAGTATGCAGAAATTGCCTTTCATTTTTCCACTTGGTATTAAGTAGAAAAATGAAAGGTAATACCATCAAACGATAATCGTTCGTGTGATGGTATTGCATCGCGCGACAGATGTTACGCGCTGGGGGTTCAGGATAAATAAATAAAACACTTCATTAACACTTTAAGATTCTCAATTCATTTCCTCCGCTTCGCTTCAGGCGATACGTTCGATGTTTCGCTTCGAGTAGTTCCGATTACTAACTGACTGCTTACCATCTCTGCAACGCTTTTATAGCCGATACCACATCCCTAGAATTATCGAGAATATTCCAAACAAATCTAGTATTGTGTTTCCGCTATCTGACAATAGATGGCGCTGTACTTCTCCAGCGTTCTAGATGCTACCCGATCCTTCGATATTCGTTCCACTATTCGACAATAGATGGCGTTACTCTTACCGGCGTAACAGTATGATAGTTACAGAACGTTGCTAGCGATTCTCAAGTTAATCACATTTCACGACATAGTTACATTTTTTACATTCGACACCAGACAGTGAAATATAGACTTTAAATCTGGAAGCAGAACTGTAGTGATAAGTCAGATGATGGTATTTTCCAATGAGGGTTCCCGGTATACCACTTATTAAATTTTTAATCACTCTGTTCCTTCCTTCGTTTGTTTTCCAGCTGTACCTGTATTTCAACAGCATGATGGTGTCAGTATACGAGGAGCGATACAATTACGACTGGAACCTGTTCCTATCAGATCTTGGCGGTAGTATTGTAAGTTGTTCTAAACCTGGAGCAGTAACAAAAACCTTATCTAAGGTCTCAGTATAGTTACAACGGCTGCCCCGCCCTTCAAACCTAAGCGCATTACTGCTTCACGGCAGAAATAAGCAAGGTGGTGTGATGGTACCTATCCGTGCGGACTCACAAGAGGCCCTACGACCAGTAATTACGCAAATTATAATTTTGCAGGTTTCATTTTTATTACACGATGATATTCCTTCACCGTGGAAGTCAATCGTGAACTTTTATTGAGTACGTATTTCATTAGAAAAATTGGTACCCGCCTGCGGGATTCGAACACCGGTGCATCGCTTCAACACGAATACATCGAACGTCTTATCCGTTAGGCCACGACGCGATGTGGTTGCTAACATTAAGCCTTATCAGAAGGTTTGAAATCACTCAAAGATCAATGGAGAGGCTATGCTCCGAGTTTCCCTGCGAAATCGAATTAGGAATGAGGAGGTGAAGAAAGACCAGCTTACGTCGGTGGGCTGTTAAAATAAATTAGGCGTCCTACGGTCAGTAAAACTGATCTCAGAAATTTTAAAACATACTGTCTTTTTCTGTATAAAATCTGCAGAATTAAGAGCAAACTAGGATAATCGCTTTGTACTTACTAGAAAATTAGTTCATCGAAAAAATTGAGGCTTAAACCTCACATCTCAGGGTGTGATGTCCATGGACTTAGAACCAGATGGACTGTGAGCTCGTTCACTTGACCTGTATTTAAAGGTATATAATTATGTACATATGTAAAGTTTCCGGTTTTTATATAACAGGGAATTCTTGTTTGCAGCGACATGACTGCATGTGATTCGTTACCGGTTACTGATTTAATTAGATGTCTTTGTTACTTTGTTAAAGAAATTTGGAATCTCATTTGTACTAAACAGAAAAGACTTGCTTGTTAGCTCTGAGGAGATGTACTTGGAGATTTGATTATCAGTTCGCCCGAACTATTAGCTATACGAGTAGAGGACATATTTCTCAAGTGCTATGACATGTCCTTCTTCCAACGAGGCTTGTGAAGAGTACTTAACGGTAGGCAGCGGCTTTGCTCTGCTGACGGCATTGCTGACGTCCGTGAGCGATGGTGATTAGTGACCATCAGGTGGGCCATACGCACATCTGCTAACAAAGACAATAAAAAAAATATAAAGCAAAAAAAATTCCTTTCAAACTGTCGTCACTATATATATAACTCATGTTTATGCTCCTTGACGTTGAATGCTATGAAGATATTTTCTTTATGCTCGCGTTCGTATTCAATTTGTGTGGCCCGCGTATTTCTGAACAAGCGGCCCGCTCCGACTCCGTTCGGGTCTTTAACAAAAATTTCAACGATATTTGACGTTGTTTTATTTTTTTAAATAAAAGAACACTTATTGCGGCATAACTATAACAGTTAGACATATGCTGTCTTTGCATGTACTTTTTGCTATGCACTTTTTGTAAATAACAATGTGCTCTACAAAGTCGTAGTACATTATTTTATTCTATCATCAACAGTTTTCGCAGGGCACGCGATTTTAAGAATATTTTAGGTAATTTTTTTACACCTTTGGTTACATTATTGGAGTTTTAGCAAGGATCCCTAATTTTTTCAAAAAAGATTATATAGTCTGTCACTCAGGAATAGCGTAGCTTCCAAACAAAGAAAGAATTTTTCAAATCGGTTCAGTAGTTTCGGAGCCTATTCAATACAAACAAACAAACAAATCTTTCCTCGTTATAATATTAGTATAGAAGTATAGATTTGTATAGATAACTCCTGCGTAACTCATACAACGTAAACAGCACGTCAGTTATTTGAGGCCTCAATTTGGAATACATTGCGGGTTTAGTCGATACGCCAATGAAGTCTAGTTGTTGTCTTAGTTTGTATTATTGTACAATGACCGGAAAAGTGGAACTCTCCAACTGGGCCTACAGCATGGCTTTTATATGACTATTCACCAATAAATGAGAGATGGTGATCGCATTATGATGGTACTCAGAGAAGTTGTTTTTTTATTTTTTTATTGCTTTAGATGTGTGGACGAGCTCACAGCCCACCTGGTGTTAAGTGGTTACTGGAGCCCATAGACATCTACAACGTAAATGCGCCACCCACCTTGAGATATTAGTTCTAAGGTCTCAGTATAGTTACAACGGCTGCCCCACCCTTCAAACCGAAACGCATTACTGCTTCACGGCAGAAGTAGGCGGGGTGTGGTACCTACCGGTGCGGATTCACAAGTGGTCCTGTTTTCCGTTAAATCCCAAGAAGAGTTTTCATTTACGACACCCAATGTCTATTTTAGGTTACAAATATTAAGTTGAAAGTAATTATGACATGTAAATAATGGTCGGGCTTTTAGCAGCGCAAGTATTGAGAGGTCAAACTAATTCGGCGATATGAGGGTAGGTACTGCCGAAAAAAGTTTCACATTGATAGGTCAAAGTCGTCGTGGCCTAAAGGATAAGACGTCTGGTGTATTCGTATATAGCGATGCAATGGCGTTCGAATCCCGCAGCCACCAATTTTTCTAATGAAATACGTACTTAACAAATGTTCACGATTGACTTCCACGATCAAGGTATAACATCGTGTAATAAAAATGAAACCAACAAAATTATAATTTACGTAACTACTTGTGGTAGGACGACTTGCGAGTCCGCAGGGGTAGGTACCACCAACTTGCCTATTTCTGCCCTGAAGCAGTAATGCGTTTCGGTCTGAAGGGCGGGGCAGCCGTTGTACTGTTAAAAGTGAAATCTTGCAACTCGTGTCTGAAGGTGGGTGGCGGCATTTACGTTGTAGATGTCTATGGGCTCCAGTATCCACTTCACATTAGGTGGACCGTGAGCTCGTCTACAAACCTAAGCAATAAAAAAAACGAATTAAAGCTCGTCACCTTAATAGTTCTATAAAGTAAGGCTAAAATCGTTTGGTCCCAGGGCTTTCTTCTCGGCCTTTCCGTGATTGGCATTATGGACGTTCTCGGCAAAGGCTGGTGCCTCTTCATCAAGCCTTGCTTTAAGAAGGCCAAGTCGCAAGCCAGCAACGTTCCTACGGTCGCGGAAGATTCTGGAAAGCATGCGCAGTGCCCCACGCCAAACAACTGGAACGGGAAGACCGGCGAATGATTCAGGCTGATTTAAACAAATATTTTTCGCTGAAATGCTCTTTGAATAACTTGTAAATAAAGCTTTGGTTGCTATTTTCTGCTGCTCTATGTCACATGTGTTATTTTTCTTTATTTTTTTTTAACGGCCGTCTGGTGTATTGGTAAGTGACATGGTCACTACACAAGGGAGTCGCGGGTTCGAATCCCGCCAAGGGAAGATATTTGTATGATAAATATAAATGTATTTTCCAGGGTTATGGATGTCTATTAAATATATGTATGTGTATAATAAAAATCTTACATTTATATCCGTTATCTGGTACCTGTAACACAAGTTCTTTACGAACTTATCACGGGACCAGTTAACGTGGCGTGATTGTTAGTAAATATTTATTTAATATATTTCTCTTGATATACATATTTAAACAAGCGTGCATTTTTAGGGTAAATTTTGTCTTATTTGTGTTCAGCTGCAGTCACGCAAGCCTCCACGAATAAATACTATTTCGACAACCAGAGAAAACTTTATCGCTTCGAGATTTCACTGAAAGGAATCGTCATATAGGCTTTTTAATTACGAGATTATAGGCACAACCCATTGAGTTTCTCACCGGATCTTATCAGTGGGTCGCAATTCCGATCCGGTCGTAGATGCTGCGAAGCACTGCTCTTGCTAGGGCTAGTGTGAACTAATTCTCTCAGGTTGAGTCCGTGACCTAGTCGACCGCGCGTAGCTGGAATAGTCACCAGCGAAAAGGTTGTTGTCCTAATGGCCGTTATAGGCTGACGATCATACGGCCCATCTGAAGGTGTGTCGTTTCCGTCACTCATGGGCGTCAGCAATGCCAAAGATATGGCCAATTTTGTTTATTTTTTCTTATTCATTTATTTTATATTTGTTTATGTCTACGCACGCTCTACACATGTGTAATTATTTGTTGTGTTATTTTTATTACTCAAAAGTTTTTATTATATTATATGTTAAATCTTTTAACGCATGTTTTTGAGCGTAATAATTATTGATAATAGTGATGTCGTTTTGAGGTCGATTATATACATAGTAAATCGCATTTTGATAGGCATAGCCTGTATCGTGAGGATCATTGGTTAATATTATATTGTTGATGCTATCTGCGTAATCTCTTTATTTGTTAAATATGTAAATAGTATTCATATGTAAATAGTAAGCCGCTGCCTACCGCTGAGTTACTCCTCATCAGCCTCATCCTCCATCGCTCGTGCACACGAGCATTTCTAAAGCCGCTCCGTGTACTAATAACTACTAAAACATTTTTTTAAATTCAATACGTACTCAAAATATTCACGAACGACCTCCGCGACGAAGGAATAATGCCGTGTAAGAAAAATGAAACCCATAAGTTACGTAAGTGCTGATAGTACTGTCAGCACACGCGGATAAATACTACCGGCCTATTTATTTAACGATAACCGGCGATAACCTGGAAAAACTTATGATCACAGGGAAAGTTGAAGGCAACAGATCTAGAGGCGGCAGCCAGACTCGTTGGTCCGATCAGATCGGCACCGCTTTGGACAGTACAGTGTAAAGCGCGCTGCATGACGCCGTGGACAGGGGAAAGTGGAAAAAGATCTTAAGATTGAAGCTCATGGGTGATGGTGGTCACGACCCTCAGAGGAACACGATTCGAGGAGGAGGATTTATTTCAGCCGTGAAATTTTAAGTTCTACAATTGAGCCTTCTACGAGCCTCGAGGGGCATGGTGGCAGTTACCTCATGATTTATTCAGTTATGATACAGTGAACTGAACACCAATAGCACGTGAAAAGATTTTTCTCAACTAACTAAAAAATGAAAACAGAAAAGAGATGTCTTCCCGGAAAAACTTGGAGCCGCTCAATAGAGCAGAAACAGGGAGTCTTGGGCATGGTCTGGGAGGAGCTAGAACAGACTGCCCAAGACCGACGCAAATGGAAGAATTTGATTCGAGCCCTACACTCTAGTAGAGGGTAATAGGAAAGAAATGAAGAAGAAGAAGTACTTCAATGGATAGGTCTAGATCAATTTCGTATCTTTAAAAAAACTTGCTAAAGAACATCAATCGTTTTTCACGTAGTTTTTTTTATTGCTTACATGGGTGAATGAGCTCACAGTCCACCTGGTGTTAAGTGGATACTGGAGCCCATAGACATCTACAACGTAAATGCCCCACCCACCTTGAGATATAGGTTCTAAGGTCTCAGTATAATTATAACGTCTGCCCCGCTGTTCAAACCGAAACGCATTACTGCTTCACGGCAGAATTAGGCAGGGCGGTGGTACCTACCCGTGCGGACTCACAAGAGGTCCTACCACCAGTAAAAAAGCTTTAACTATTTGCGGTGGCCCTAATAAATCATGCTATGTATTGTTGCGACTACAACCTTGTTGCTGGTTTCACGATTGCGTTCAGTTGGCAGTTGTCGAGATGTCGCATAGCTTTTGTGACGCATGGACGCTTAGGTTGTGGATACATTGGAAGAGCGGACGGTCAAATTTCGACAACAACTAGCCGTTACCCGCAGCTTAGTTCACGTGCTTATGGGATAGTGTTGTGGATTTTCATAAAATTTAGTATACAGGAGATTTCGGGGGCGATAAATCGATCTAGCTACGATTTATTTTCAGAAAATGTTGTTTTATTCGTGTTTTCAATAATCAACTCTTCCCGACATCTATTGGCGAATAATAATACAATTTTTCTTAATTGAGGACAACTAACCGCTTTAAAGACACAACAAGATGGCGTTATCAAAAAAAAAACCGAGCAAAGCTCAGTCATTATCTAGTAAAATTTATTCAGCAAAGAGCCGAGGTCTGTGTTAGGTTCAAAGACTTGTATTACAGATCTATAGAATCCCTCCTTCCTAAATTTAGTTAGGTTATGTTGTGAGCAGATGTCGAGAGTTTATTAAGTGTTATTATTTAAGTAGGTCACCATGCGTATGTGTGCGCGCTCGCGTGTGTATTTGTGTAAGAGGTTTCTCATGAAAAGTCCGATTTCTCTTAACCGACTTCGAAATACTGGGCGTTTTCAATGTGTGTAGCTGCGCTCGTGCGTTAGAACAGTGGCCCGGACATTAGTCACACGTTTCGCCCGTCGATCGTCGTCGCTATATCTGTGACAGCTCCGCTAATGCATCTCTCAGCGCTCTTTATAAGTATCAGCTTTAAAATATTAATCGCATCGACATTCCAAACGTGCGGCGGGAGATTAAATCGCGATTAGCCAGAATTCCTTTTTAGCATCGTTGTAGCTCATCGCGTCGTATGCCACTGTATCAGGATAAAAGCTTCACGTAGACAGAAAACAGTTAACGAATTTTAAAAGGCACAGATTAGTTGTTAATCTTGTTGAGTTGAACAGTTCTTGTCGTAGGTGAAGAAAGGATAAAAAAATCCATCTAGGATCAAAAGATCCCATAATCAATTATACTGTATCAGAACTTTTTATTGCATATATGAGTGGACGAGCTCACAGCCCACCTGGTGTTGAGTGGTTACCAGAGCCCATAGAAATCTACAACGTAAATGCTGCCACCTACCTTGAGATATGAGTGATTTCTAATGTCTCAGCGTAGTTACAACGGCTGCCCCACCCTTCAAACCGAAACGCATTACTGCTTCATGGCAGAACTAGGCGGGTTGGAGGTACCTACCCGCGCGGAGACACAAGAAGTCTTACCACCAGTAATTACACAAATTATAATTTACGCGGGTTTGATTTTCAGTGCACGATGTATTCCTTCACCGTGGAAGTTAATCGTGAACATTTATTAAGTAGGTACGTATTTTATTAGAAAAATTGTTACACGCCTGGGATTCGAACACTGGTGCATCGCTCAACATTAATAAGCCGGAGGTCTTATTCTTTAGGCCACGAAGACTTTAACTTGTAGGTGGTTATGTGAGCTGAAAATCACGCGGAATGTTTAGTACAATCTTTGAGTAATATAAGCCGTTCTTACCATAGCTGACGTGGTGCTACCAAATTTCGATTTGAAGGTTAGTATAGACATTCAGATCTGATTGGGACTTGATCTTTTATTGGTCTATAAAGAAATACGAGTGCCCCTGATCACATATTGGCAATGCCAGGGACGCAGACAAGTAGCTACCTGCCGTTGAGTAGTCTTCGAAAGTAGTTTGAATCAATATGTCGTAGCGTTCTAGAAACATCTTGGGGCACTTTAACTTCGAACCCTATGGTATGCGGCAAAAATGATCCACTAAGTGGTGAGAGCCCAATGCTTCCAGGTGGTAAAGATGAATTCTTCCTTCCGTCGATGATCCTCAATGCTGAGGGTCGTGGCCTCAAAATATTTTTTTTCTTAAACTATTTCTAATTCAAATTTATTAAAATTTATTTTCTATTTTTTAGTTGGAGTTTCTATAAAAGCGTATTTTTTAGTTTTTTTTAACTTCAAAGTGAAAATATTTTGACACGTAGATCCCTGTATATTATTTATTTATATTATGACGATACAATCTGTTTTGGTGATTAATGCATGATCCACCTTAGTATTCGGCGGCTGAACCAAGATTCAAACAGATTATTTCTTGAATAAGACTCGCGATTTCAGATAAAATTCAGTTAGAGCGACAGTGTTTGGAAACAGGAAGGCGGGCCGCGGAAGCCGAGCCAACTATGAGACCAGGAGCTGGTAGCTCAACATGCCACGTCATCAATATTTTTAAATCAAATTACAAGTATTTCTTAATAGGTTTTGAGCTGTGTGTATATAAGTTGTATAGGCGGGGGTGATCAAAAGTTCCTTCGCTTGCCCCGGGCAGAGTCCTGTCTCTACGTTATTGACCTTTTTTTAATATTGCTACACCGGTAAGAGTAACGCCATCTATCGCCGAATAGTCGAACGAATATCGAAGGATCTAATAGCGCTCAGAACGCTCGAGAAGTATAATGCCATCTGTTGACAGATAGCGGAAACTAATACTATAGATGTGTAGAATATTCTCGATAATTCTAGGGATGCGGTATCGGCTATAAAAGCGTTGTAGAGATGGCACGCAGTCAGTCATTAATCGGAACTACTC